ATTATTATTATCATTTAGGCCTAATCAGCTAAATCTGTAAATTCTTTGAACAGACTAAACTTTGTATTTAAGGTTAGTTGATTTTCATGTCTTCCACATACAAACAATGAGCCAGAACAAAATTATTGATCATATGCATAAAATCATATGTAACACGTTCCTACACGTGCTTACGTGTTGTTAACGCGTTCCAATGGCGACCGGCGGAAGTGCAAGTAACCGATCGTGTTCCCAACGTGTTGTTTGCGTATGAAGACACGTTGTAACACGTTTGTGTTTTCTTACCTTAATTTAAGCTGTTTTACTTCAGTTTTCTCAATATGACAGTATGTCAATTTTTTTAAATTGTAACCTTTGTTAGAAAAGTAAATAAAGAAGGGAAAAACAGCATAAGCATACAAAAAATAAAAATATGAGCAAAAAATGTCTGAGAGCAGAAAAAACTGAAAAATAACCAAGGAAAACATGATTTTGTGTGCAAGTCAGATAATTTTGCATTAATATTTCAATTTTGTGCAATATGATTTTAAATGTGTTTAAAGTTTTGATTCATGCTTATTATTTTTAAAAATGCATTATTAATTTTCTGATTTACGCTTATTATTTTTCTATCCGTGACCATTGTTTGCTATACTGAAAACTTTGCTTTCATTTTTAAATCTTGTGCAATATATTCTTACTTGCGTTTTTAAATTTTGTTTTTACGCATGTTATTTTTTTATCCGTGATTGCAATACTTTAGGCGGGAATCTGATCCCATAATCTTAACCTTAGCCTAAACACAATTGCCAGAAGTAAAAAGCTAAACATAGGCTATAAACGAAAGTTTCAGTTAGAATATTTGGTCCCACTTTATATTAGGTGGCCTTAACTACTGTGTACTTAGATTTAAATTAATAATTTGGTACAATGCACTTATTGTGTACATACCTGTTTTTACATTGAACTTATATTTTTAAAAATGCCTATATGTAATTACATCTGTTATTAATTTCTGTAATTACATTTATATTTACACCGTTGATCCATCCCTTACACCTTAACCCACCCTTAAACCTACCCATACCACCAAACCTGTCCCTAACCTTACCCGTATCCCACCTCAATAGCAGCAAAAGTGTTTTGCAATACAATATGACCACAATAAGTACATTGTACTTATTTTTTGATGCAAGTACATAGTAGTTAAGGCCACCTAATATAAAGTGTGACCGAATATTTAGCAAGACTGTGATTGTAAACACAACAAGGCACACAACAAAGTGGACTACTGAGTAGATTAATTTCAAAATACATGTGGTAGAATAAAACATGAACATATCTATCTTAAGCTTGTGTTAGCCACAGACCTTATTTTAGGCATTTAACCAAAATCCCATTGACTAAAATGCTAAGTCGTTTCTAGGAATTGGCCTACAAAAATATAAAAAGACACCCTTGCAGCGCTCTATTGGCATGCTTTGTAGTGGGCATAACTTGGAGTGTGTCTGGTTTATATTCAATACGGATAGATACATTTGCAAACAACATCTTTCTTTATTAACTGCCATTCAATGCAGTGTTGATTTTGTAATATTTGTAGGTCTCGCTGGCTGAGCAGCTGAACCAGCCTGGCGTGGACGCCATCACGCCAACATCCAAACACAGCATATGCTGCCGACCATTACTTTGGTCTTTTCATCAGTGAAGTTTGAAAGGTTTAGGTCTTACTTAAGCTCTCTTACCAACCAGTTTGGCATTAATACCATTTACGTCACTCTCATTCACAGCTTTTGTTGCAGTAACTCTCCGCTCTATGACTCTCCTCGCAGTAACTTCATTTCCTGCTGAATTCTGAACCACTTCCAAGCGCAATGTTGTTTCAGTCTCATCCAGATGATCGCCTGAGTTATTTTAGTGCATGCGTACACCCACTCACCATCAGCACTATTCTACTGTAAAACCTCCACTAATGATTCTTTCATGTAGCCGTAACGGTGTTGATTATGCCGGCTAATTCTTGATTATTTCACAAGTGATTATCCTGATTTTGACACACAATTGTCATTTACATGCAACGCAGTGGATGATGTTGGAAAGCAGATATTTAAATCTATTTAGAGTTGTTTTTCATAGAAAGGTATTTTTCCCTGTTTTCAAATGCATATATATATAGAGAGATCGTGTCATCTTAAAGATGTGTGTGTCTTTAAATGATACAGAAAGAAAGAAAGGGCAAGAGAAAAGGATCGGGGATGGTGTCGCTGCAGGGCTCCAGGGATTGATTGATGGCAGCCGTATTTACGCCATCAGGTTCCCTGTGTGGAGCCAAAATGGCTGCCTGTTCCCACCGTGAGTACAGGCGCCCCCCGCTGCCACAGCGAGCTAAAAAGCACTCTGACTTAGAACCGTAATGAAAAACAAAGAGTGAAAAATTTAAGGGGGTCTGAATACTTTCCGTACCCACTGTATATACAAACTGAAAGTGCAGCAGTCTTGGCGAGAGCTTCCTGTCATCAGTATTCCTCCTGTGGGGCTTCCTAGTCGCAGTTCCATAGTTATGCTGCAGTTAAGCACTCTCTCACTCTGTCTGTCGCTCTCTCATTCTCCCTCTCCCTGTGACTGTCGGTTTAGGGGGTGGGAGAGAAGGAAGTGACCTACATAGCACCGTTCCCTCGCCTCGGCTGTCTTTTGCATTTCAAGGGATAATGAATAATTTACAACTCCTCTCCCTCCTGTGAAAACGTGACAGCCTTCAATACAATTAACGAATTTAACAAGCCCCGGTGACAATCAGTGCACTGCCACTCAAAGGACCCGGATAGAGGCTTGGATCCAAGAGCCCGAGGCACATCACTGGAAAAAAAGAGAGAGAGAGAGAAAATAACAATGCCACAGGTGAGACTTTATTGGGAGCAGCTCACAGGAAGCTCAGTGGGGCTGTGCAGCACACAAACATCAGAAAGGTTTTTACTATTCAACACAACACCAGCTAGAGAGGAGTAAACGCTTTATAGCGCAGCTACAGGAGAGTTACAGTCTGCTTTAGCGAGCATTGTTTGTTTCTGCTCATGTTTGTGCACTCGCTTGACTCCGGCCACGAGGAACATTATCAGGTTCCTCGAAAAGGGATATAAATTTGAACTGTGCTTTCCGGTTGGAGTTCAGGCAAAGTCAAGGATCTATGCCAGTGTCACCACAGCCCACTGCCTCTCTAGATTCCAATTATACTGCAGTGGTTGCAGTACAGTTTCCGATTCGGAAACAAACACGCACACACTCACGTCATGCGCCACACATACACTGAATCGCTGGGGGAGTGTGTAATAGTTTTATCAGGGTGAGCACAGGCATACAAGTGCACTCCAGCCTGCAGCTATGGCTGGGCTCCATGGGAGAAAGTCAATTACGGCAGGATGAGCCAGCCCGGGGTGAACATATGGGAGAGAGATAACGCAGGCAAGATGGCCGCTACACACTCCCAGCAGCCCCTGGTGCCCAAGTGTCGCGTGCCGCTCTCTGCCCTCCTCCATATTTACCTCACACCGCAGCACCAAACAAAGACCATCTGGAGACTGTTGAACGCAAATTCGTAGCAAAGCCAGTTTTTTTTTTTATTAATTTGACTTGATAGAACAAAAATGAAAAGTTAGACCTTAAAAGATGCAGGAAGAATACATTTGATCTTGATGTTTTATGAAAATTAACCATGGTTTTACTATAGTAAAAGTGTAGTAACCATGTTTTATTTTAGCGGATTGATTACCATTTGTATAACCACAGTTTTACTACAAATACCATGGTTTAACTATGGTTAGTGTAGCAAAACCACGGTTAATTTATGGTTACCGTGGTTTAACTATAGGAACCATGGTTTTTTGGTTTTAATAAAACCATGGTTCATTTTTGTAAGGGTTACCAGGCTTCCTAATTAGAAGAATGATGTAGCCATCAGCTAGCTACTAGCTTGTTTATCTTATAAGAATGACTGTGCTATGTGGTTTACCAGGAAGAAATTGTCAACCAGTACGGCCCTTTTGATGTAGCTAAGCTAGTACCTAGTTACTAACTACATCATTGTCATCAACTGATCATTGTAATGTAACCACTTAAGCTAGTTGCTAGCAACATAATTCCCAAACAATCATTCTGATCATTTTGATGTAGTTACTTAAAGGGCACCAATTATGCCCCTTTTTACAAGATGTAATATAAGTCTCAGGTGTCCCCAGAATGTGTCTGTGAAGTTTCAGCTCAAAATACCCCACAAATCATTTATATCATCATTTTGAAAATGCCTATTTGAATGGCAGCAGAAACACACTGTTTTTGTGAATGTCTCTTTAAATGCAAATGAGCTGCTGCTCCCCGCCCCTTTTCCAGAATAGGACTGTGCCTTTACAGCTCATACCTCAGATCACTGCCAAAAAAAAGCATCTGTTTGGTTTTGATTATCATGTCTATCACGCTGAAATCATGCGTTTTAAACCATATTGGTTTAAACTTCTAATATACGATTTTCTGAGCGCACACATCCGTAGCACATGTACAAAAAGTGGCTGTCACATGGCATGTGAGTAAGTTCTTTTTTATGTCTTATTGCGCTTAAACTGTCAAATACACACAAGTTTATGTTAAAAACACAAGTTATAAACACAGTCGGTTATGTCTGTGAAGGTAAACAGCTGGGAAAGAAATCTCAAAAACTAAATGGCGGCGCCGTAGGTGGAAACGTGAAGATTAAGAGGCGGTAATATTATAATAAGATCCTCTTTCTATGTCACAGGGAGAGTGAAATCCATTTTTTCACATGTTCCCAGAGAAAGGCTTACCAAAACAAAGTTACTGGGTTGGTAGATGCACCGGGGACCCAATTATAGCACTTAAACATGGAAAAAGTCAGATTTTCATATGTCCCCTTTAAGCAATTAGCTAGATGCTTGCTGCACCATTCTCATAGAATGATTTTAGCTAGATATATAATCTGGAATATAGTTGTTAGTTGGTCTAGCTAGTTGTGCAGCACAAACCTGCTTGAATTAGTATCGCCATTTATGCTGATCTAACTTGTTTTGTTTTCTCAACACTGAATTATTCAGCTTCTTGACAACCAGGGTATATCCTGAGGCCTGAATGTTTGGACGCTCAGCTGATAGTCTAATAATAATAACAGTTTCAGCAGCTTTAGCACTTATGGGCTTAGAAACCATCAAGCTTTGCTGCATTGTGTAACCGAGGAGAAGGTCTTTGTTCTTCTTTGCTTTCTTGTTTGTTTGTGGGTGATAGACTGAGTTGCGATTCACCGCACGTCTCATCATAGCCAGCTCTCAAACAATTATGACGAGAGAGGATGAGAAGAGAGTTGGATTCTCTCTCTCTCGTCCTCTTTTTCTGTTTGTCTCTCATGCATACATGGACGCAAACCCGTTCCAGTCCACACACACTTATCCCTGTTAAACGGACACAGAGAGCTGCCCGTTGGCAGAGTGAACAAAGTGGCGGGGGGCTTGACAAAAATACCCTCTTCTGCAAGACCTTAAGTTCTTCACTGCTTTGGATTAGCCGTCTTCCATTTCATACTGTGCATGATGTAGATTGCTCCTACAACAGAAAACAGGGAGAGAGAGGGGGGTAGCGGAGAAAAGAAAAGCAGCACGTCAGAGCGCGAGTCTGTCAAAAAGCAATCAGCAGCGTGAGTGCCTCGCCTCCTGCAGACCGCTGATTATGGCATTAGGCTGAGCCCAATTCTTCCCCTTGTGAGGCAAATCATTCCGCCTGCAATAAAGAACTCTGAGACAATGGAGAAGTTAATTAAGATTAATTAACTTTTTTTAATGACGCCTGTACACTAGAATTTGTGCGTGTGGCCAAAGGCGTTTTCAAGTATACTGCCATACCTTCATATTGTTCTGCTTCCCTCCCTTCCTCCCTCCCTCTCTTTTCTCTCTGCTTACCTTTGTTTTATTCCAGTTATCACCCCTTAGTTTTATTACGCTGTAAAAAGACTCTCAAGGACACACAACTAGTTAAAATCTGCATTGCAATAAATCTGTTTTGACATGTTCGTTCGTATTTCTACTTGTCCGCTTCACAGTCTTGGAAAGTTACTCCACAGGCTTTAATGTGCGTGTCTTCAGAGCATCCTCACTGCTTTTAATGAGCCCACAGCACTGTAAGAGTAAAGGCAAATGAGACCCTCCAACTTATTCCCCCTTTCTTGTGCTTTCTTTCCTCGTGGTCAGCTGAGAGTGGTTTCTTTACACTCTCTGGAACACTGCAGGCTCAGAGAGATCGTTCACAAGCAAAAAGCACGCCAGACAGATCTTATTTGAGATTGCATTGTGGTGCATGTGCACACAAAACACATGGTCTTAGTTGGTATTTATGTTTTGCTCCTTAAAAATGAAAATGTAGATCCTTAAAAATGTAAACTGTATATACAGTACTATTCAAAACCGTGGGCTCAGTAGGATTTTTTAATAAAGAAAATTATATTTTTGTTAAGCAAGAAACCATTAAGTTTATCAAAGGGGACAGTGGAGACTACACTGTTGCAAAAAAAGAAAGTTTCAGATAAATGCTGTTCTTTTGAACTTTATATTCATCAAAAAATATTAAGCAGCACAGTTGTTATCGGAATATTAGAATGATTTCTAAAGCATCATGTGACACGGAAGACTGGAGTAATGGCTGCTGAAAATACAGCTTTACTGTCACATTAAATAAAATATATTTTAAAATACATTAAAATAAAAAACAATTACCCTATATTGTAATAATATTTCACAGGTATTACCGTTAACTATATTTTTGATCAAATAAATGTAGCATTTATCTAGCCCTTTTTGAACTTTTGAACAGTAGTGCATATATAAAATTCTAATATATTATTACAATAAATATGAATTAGATATGTTTATTAGCTATCTTTTTAATTACTGTATATTCCATAGATTTTTGATATATGTAATGTTTTAAGCATAAACCTCACTAATTTCTTAATCTATCATCTAATCGGTCAGTCTGTATATCATTAAAAATATATAATTATATAATATAAAGGTATGTTGTAATTTGTGATTAAAACAATGAAATTTTGCTTTGTTGTACCAGACTGATTATGGAATTTAATGCGTTAAAATCTGAGATTCTCTTTAAATGAATACTTATTTGTATTATGCTGGGTATCATTTTTAGACAATCTAGTGTTCATAAAAACACAACTAGCTGAGCTACGAGATGTTGTTTGTGTTTTGTTTATTTCCATCCACACATTAGGACCCCCGATAACAGTTTTCCAGTGTTTATTTGCCACCGCTCTCATCTACCAGTTCTCAGCCCAACAGACTGTCCAAGATGAGAAAAGCCTTCCGAGGAAAAAAGGATTTTGAGTTACCCGTTATTTCTGAAATCTTTCCTTAATGGCTTCCCATCATTCGATGACGTAGTTCTACAACATTTTGTGCAATTATTCGCCTTGCACTGTTTTTGATCATTTTACTCTTTCAATCCTGTTCCAATGAGCAAACGAGAGGAGGAAGGAGAGAATGTGAGGTAAAATGATGTGTGTGTGTGTGTGTGTGTGTGTTTGTGTTCATGCCTGTAGGGGGCTGGGACAGCCGCTGCAACCCAGTGTGCCTGCTGCTGCTTTACATTCTGCCGGTGTAGGCTGAGTCTCACACAGCAGCAGTAGCAGCCAGCCAGCCATGCACATCCCTCATTCAGTCTGGCTTCTCATTTATCAGCTCACTCAACCAGCAATCTCACTCTCTCTCTCTCTCCTAAATATCCTCTCTTTCTGTTCCCATTGTTCTAAACCTCCACATGCATCGCGGTATGTGCGGCTGTGTGTGTGTTCATGCCTGTATAAATATTCAAGTCTCTTTCACTCGGTTGATTCCTATTTCACAGAAAGGAATTCTAACATTACTGCCCCCGTGAGGACAGACAAAGCAATTACTCGATATGTTTATTTTATTAAACATTCTTCCATTCTTCCTCAGCAGAGCGCAGTGTTATCCAACGCGAACTCTGCTTTGCTGCAGGCGGCCCCGTCCCAAACCTCAGCCCTATCTTGAACGAACATCACACAGCCGAGATGAAAAAGAGGGAAATCGATGCAGGGGAGAGCGCGCCGTGTAGAGAGCCTGGCTTTGCTTTGATCGAAGGTTGACTGACAAGACCTTCAGCTCTGTGATCTCCGGCATGATGAAGGACCGGAGCCGTGGTGGTGCAACAACGTGTGTTTGTTGTATTTTGTGCGGTGTAGGTTTTGTGTATTTGTGTCTATATGTTTTTGTTTTTTTTATATTTACTTGAAAACCTAGCGAGCTGCCTACGGAGGCGGCATTTTAAAACTTCATAGGCGCTCTCCTGACACAAAGTCTTTTTCAAAAGGTCATCGTAATTATGCTGCCACCTAAGTTACCATCTTTAGGTCAAATTTTAAAGTGGAATCACTATGCTACTATGCTTTGCATAAAAGACAGAAATTATATTTATAACAAATAATATAAATAAATAAAAAACAGCATTGTTATTGTTAAAGGAATAGTCCATCCAAAAAAGAAAATTATGTCATCATTTACTCAACTAAGCAGCTTTGGTTCCCATTGTCTTCAATTAAATGGACGAAAATACTGTGGAAGTCAATGGGCACCAAAATGGTTTGGTTATCAACATTCTTTGCATTTTCTGTGTGTGTGTGTGTTTAGCAGAAGAAAGAAATGCATACAACATGAGGATGAGTAAATGAGAGAATTTTCATTTTAGGTGGACTATCCCTTTAACTAAAATTAAAACTATATATATTTTTTTGTAATTTAATTAAAGCTGAAATAAAATATTAGATGAAAATTATAAATTAAATAAGTTGAAGTTGAAGTAAAATGATTAAAACAAACTGGAAATTGAAATAAATGAAAGCTAAATTGAAATTCAAATAAAAATGATAAAATAAATTACAAAAACAAACTAAAGTTAAAATAAAAACTGAAAATATAAAATAAAAGCTCATATTAATAAATATTTATATACTGTAATAGTATATCAATAATACTTTAACAACACTGCGTGGAAATTAATCCAAAACAATGATCTGAATGATGTTTTGATTATAAATTAGGTTAGATATAGTTAAATGTAAAAAAATATATATATATAGTTAAATGTAATAAATTGAAGATTAAACCGATTTATTTTTTGCCAATATTTATTTGTATGCCTATTAGCAATTTCCACAGCTTAGCAACATGCTAATGTCAAACTCTACTGAAATCAGTCATCGGTTCTCCTGTTCAGAGCGCTGTTTGTGTTGCTTCTCCGCTAGGTAGTAGACATTGAGGCAGCTAGTTAGGATTTGGAACAGCACTATTGTATAGCCAACATAACAATAAAATTGTACACAAACACACAACTGGCACAGCCAGGCGGGTCAGGACAAGCCTGTACTCTCTCCTCTTGCCTTCCCTTTTCAGACGAGTACAGAGGGGGTGTGAGACAGAGGGCTCTGTCTGCATCTAAAGCCTGCTGGGAAAGGCCGTACTCTCATCTCCCACACAGCAGAATGCATATGCACCAAAATCCTCTTCACTTTAAAACAACCTTCCCCTTCAGCCTCCTCCGGT